ACACACATACAATGGAATACTACTCAGCCATAAAAAATAAAATAATGCCATTTGCAGCAACATGGATGGACCTGGAGACTGTCATTCCTTTTTTTTTCTTAACATTTTTTTTTGAGTTATAATCATTTTACAATGTTGTTAAATTCCAGCATAGAGCACAATTTTGCAGTTATACATGAACATATATTCATATATATTCATTGTCACATTTTTTTCTCCATGAGCTACCATAAGATCTTGTATATATTTCCCTGTGCTATACAATATAATCTTGTTTATCTATTCTACATTTTGAAATCCCAGTCTGTCCCTTCCCACCCACTGCACCCTCAGTGGAGATTGTCATTCTAAGTGAAGTAAGCCAGAAAGAGAAGGAAAAATACTATGATACCACTTATACGTGGAATCTAAAAAAAAATGACACAAATGAACTCATTTAAAAAACAGAAAGAGACTCACAGACATAAAGAACAAACTTACAGTTGCAAGAGTTGGGTACATGGAAATCTACTTCAGGATGACACCTGCACCCCAATGTTCATAGCAGCACTATTTACAATAGCCAAAACATGGAAACAGCCTACATGTCCATCAACAGGTGACTGGATAAAGAAGATGTGGTATATTTATACAATGGAATACTACTCAGCCATAAAAACCGACAACATAATGCCATTTGCAGCAACATGGATGCTCCTAGAGAATGTCATTCTAAGTGAAGTAAGCCAGAAAGAGAAAGAAAAATACCATATGAGATCGCTCATATGTGGAATCTAAAAAACAAACAAACAAACAAAAACAAAGCATAAATACAGGACAGAAATAGACTCATGGACAGAGAATACATACTTGTGGTTACCAGGGGGGTAGAAGGTGGGAAGGGATAGACTGGGATTTCAAAATTGTAGAATAGATTAACAAGATTACACTGTATAGCACAGGGAAATATACACAAAATGTTATGATAAATCACAGAGGAAAAAATGTGACAATGAGTGTGTGTATGTCCATGAATGACTGAAAAATTGTGCTGAACACTGGAATTTGACACAACATTGTAAAATGATTATAAATCAATAAAAAAAATGCCTGGGATTGTTCACCTGATGGCTCTATAAGGTTTCTAGAAGTTTAATTGTTGATAATCATGGAAAATAAAGCTTCCAAATATCTAATCCCCCCCCAAAAAAAAGAGTTGGGTACATGGGAATGGAAGGATAAAGCAGGAGTTTGGGATTTCCAGATACTAACTACTATACATGAAGTAGATAAACAACAAGGTCCTAATGTATAGTACAGGGAAGTATGTCCAATAACTTGTAATGACCTATAATAAAAAAGAATATGAAAGGGAATATATATGTATAAGTGAATCATTATGCTATACACCAGAAATTAACAGAACATTATAAACCGACTATAATTCAGTTTTTTTTGAAGAAGAAGAAGCATGGTTACTTCTTCGTATTCCTTATAGCTCGTAGTTGGCCAGAAGATTTTTGGGAACTTAACAGATCCTGTTTCATAGATTTGAAAGACACTTGATTGTGCCTCCTTCTCTGGAAATCTCTGTCATATGGTTAGAGCTTAGGACCTTCACCTCCTGCTCTGCATCCTGTGTAACAAGACCTCCTGGAAACTAGGGGAGGACAAAGCAGAAGGCAGCATCACATGGCTGGTGCATGGGGCTGGCTCCTCCTAGCCTTTAACGATGAGGATGATGAATAATATCTATTTGAGGATAGTTTCAACAGAGTTCACTCAACATTCATGTATTTGTTACATTGTGTCAAATTAAATATATGAAAATGTGCCCACAGCAATGTGTTACATAAAAAGAGTTGTGACCTTTTCTTTAAAAAAGGATAATGAAGTGAGATGAGCATTGGTGGACGGTGCTAGTTTGACTGCCCTAGAGGCTGAAATTCTTTATCTGGAAAGTAAAAATAGTATGGCAGTCAGAGCAGCTGCAGAAACTTTCCCGACAAATTGCCTCCTCTGCAGAGACGAAGTGGGAGAGAGATGAATTTTCCGAAAGCGCAAGATCCTGCTCAGATGAACACTCACGTAGTTCAGACTTATAAATATGTTTGGTATGGAATAGATGTAAAGTATTTTACTTGGCAATGTCATTTTATGGTTTTAAAAAATTACTTGCTATTTTATTATCATCGGAGACATGAAATGGTATTTATTGGTTACTCATGTTGTCAGATTTGGAAACACAGAATGTTTCTTGCTTCATTGCAGGAATGCATGAACTATAGAGGAAAGATTTACACCTGTTTTGTTCTGTTTATTCGGGTGTGGTAGGGGGTTGTGTGTTTGTGTTTATGTGCATGTTTTATCACAGAGGACTGTGGTTGCTGCATCTGTTTTCTGTGATATGAGCTCTACACTTTATTTCTTAACAAGGGAGGTTCAGTGGAGGAGGTGGTATTGAGTACACACACTGATGAAAAATAATAAAAACATAGGTTTGACATGTGATCAGAGGTTGTCTCAAGGAGAAACAATGGACAGGTTATGATTCCTCAGGAAAAATAGCCAAATGATGTAAGTATGCTTAAGGTAGCAGGAGCAGAGAGGAGGAAAGACAGACAGACAGAAACAGAGAGAGATCAACATGTATTTGCTGATGCCTCCAAGTATAGCAGTGTAAACTATAATTTCTACCCTTAAGAGACTTACAAGTGTAATATACATGAGATATGGTAACAGTGTGGAGTGGCATGTGGTAAGTGCTTTAAAAACACAAACTTACAGTGGTTATTATAGTTGCTATAGATGAGAGGTGTAGGTTGAATAAGACTATGACAACAGATTGAGTGGAATTTCAAACTGGTTTTTTTTCAAAGATAATTATTTTTATATTTGTGGGATTTTGCACCTGAGTGCATGTTGGTTTGTTTTATTGAAGTGCAGTCAGTTACAGTGTGTTGATTTCTGGTGTACAGCATAATGTTTTGATATCACAAATTTAAATCATTTAATCTCAGAGCAGAAAAGGACATTCATGGTTGTGCCCTGAAACTTTATCCTATCTGTAAAATATTATTGGTTCTTATAACATGCTCAGGAAGTGAGGAAGAGGGTATAGTGGCAAGAATATTTGTCATATGCTGTTTCTGCTTAAATGATAGAAAAAGGTAGGTGGAGAAGAAGAGGTGTCAGGACTGTGAGGAGTATTTAGTCATCTGCATTCTAGAAGCCAAACCTGAATATGAGGGTATAAATATTGGGATAATGGATGGTGAGAAAGATATAAAGGAAGCTGGCAGTCTAGATTAGGGATACTCTTCAGACTAGGGGAGAAAGAGAGAGAGAAATGTCTTCATCTGGAGTTGAAGTAAATGCCCAAGAAATCAGGAGAAAACTAAAACGGAGGAACTCATAAAGCTCCATTAATTCCAGCACAATAGGCCAAGTGAGACCTTAGGGTTTATTTAGTCCAATTGTATATTCAATGCTGCGTTTGCATGCTGATACATCTCTGGTCTCCTTGAATTATATTTTGTTCCAAATCACTTTCTTGTATGTAAAATCCTCTTTCCTTTGGCTTCTACATAACGTATTTGAACTGTGGGGTCTTAGGGGATCTGTCAATATTTAGATCTGGAAATACCACTATGAATTACTCTAAAATGTAGGACAGTAGCAGCCATTTACAAGTATTCTTGAAAAATCAGTAAAGAAAAAAATAAAGATAGAAAATGTCTTGACATTTAATAGTAAAATTAAGTAATTCTAACTAAACATAAAGAGCATCATAAATTATTTCTATGGCTGAAAGACAGCTCCCTGAAACACTTAAGACCCTAAGTGTCTTAAGGAGGATGAAAAAGTTGGGGTAAAAAAAAACGATGGTGAAAATTTGAAAAAACTATGTGAGATCCATGATGTGCCAAGCCTAACATTCTGGTTTCAGTGTGATACACAGGCATGATTCATAGCATATGAAAACTATCCTTCATCTAAAATACTGAATTTTAACCAGCTCCTTCAGCCTAACCTTTTAAACACATAGTTCCCATAGTTTAGATCTTTACCTACATGGTCCATGTACTCATTTGATGTAATTATATACCTAGTTTTATTTTCATCTTTTGATGTTATCTTTGAGACAAAGAAAGGCAGTGTGGGATATTAGAAAAATCACTGCACTAGGAACCAGTATATTTGCGTTCCAAGTCACAACTTGGCTAGTCACAGCATGTTTTGAGTCACTACACATCAGCGCTGTTACCTGTAAATGAGAGCACTGAACTAGGTAATATGTGAATTTTTCATTAGACATAAAAGGCTGTGATCTTACATTTATCACTCAGTGGGTAAATGAGAACTTTAAAAATAATTCATCATAAAGCAATCATTTTTATAATCCTTAAATATAAGATATAGTAACAATTTATGTCTTCTTCCTAGTTGTTACACTTTTTATAAATTTAATATGTCTGTCAATACAAAAGGCCTAGTTTTATAAATGGTACCCTGTATAGGTGCTTAAGCGCTGAGCCTTCACAGACCGTATGCCTGTGGTAGATCACTTCTGGTGATTGCCAGAGATGATTTGTCAGGGGTCTTCTTACTGCATCCTTAGATCTGTTCTTTGAAGTAAACGACCTTTGCAGAGAGATGGTAACAGGTGGTGGCTGTGCAAGTCCTACTACCGTTTCATGTTTTCAAGCGTCTGTGTTATCTCATCTCCCATCTTAATTCTTTTGTCTGTTTTGTGTTGTGATGGAAGCGTGTGTAGCCCCATCAGTATTAAAACTAAAATGGACTTAACAATCACAAGTGCAAACAGTGATTTTATTGGTTCTTCTTACTTCAGTCAAAACGGCTGATGTCTTTAGAAAAAAATCTGCAACCGTTTTTTACCATTTAAAAAAAAATCTGCAACATGGCTTTGGTCTGTGGAGCTTGAAAGACTATTTTTTAAACTATTAATTACTAGGCACCCACCTGCACTAAAATACTGCTGACACTTACTGCAGTGTGTGCTCTTCCTAGTGCTTATTTCTCTATCCAAATGGCCTCTCATATCAAATTGTGAATACATTGTCAAGGCTTATGTGTGTATAAAAGTGATTGGAGACCTGTGGAAATGTTTTTGATGAAGTAATTGATCTAAAGTCAGATTGGAGAAAGAGAATTCATCGTTTCCCAGGGAAGAGTGGAGTCATATTGTTGTTACTGCTGTAGTTTTCCAGGGTCTTATAAATGATTATTGGCCACTACTGCCAAGTTCCCTTTCTGTCAGTTGTTCTTTTACGGAAAAATGCTGTAAACCCATCACTTACTTTTCCACCATTACACTGTAGACATTGTCGTCTGTGAGAGTATCCTCATCTGAATGCCAGTTTTCGCTGTTTGAATCCCTTGAGAAGAGTAACCTTGATACTGCGGTACACTGTCACTAGCTTTAGCTATAACATTGGTAGCTACTTATAGAAGAGTATGTCCTACTTCCAAATTCTCTGCAGATATGACTACATTAGCCATTACAAAAGGGGTGTATGCACTGTATACCCAGTGAGAGCCACTCATCATTTGAACTAATTAGCAAGTAATTTGTTTTGATTCCTGACACTTGCATTTTTTACTGGTGACAGTTAATTTGGAAATTTATATAATTACATAATTTTGAATTATATAATAAACCACTCAAATAATATGGTTCAGTCATTAAAACAGAACTCTCCCGAAAACCTAAAACTCATTGCTCTTACATTTCTTTCCAGCACAATTGTTTTTCATATTCTTCCTATTTTATTCTCAATATATCCTATGTCTTATAGGATATACTCTAAACCTAGAGAGAGGGGGAAATCATTAAAGTATGTGTTCATGGAGATTTTATAAATTTTGTTTTGATTTTCCATTTAAAAATTTTTTTGCTTTCTCTTTTAATTTCCAGTTTGAGCTCCCATAGAACCTTAGTGTAACACTCAACTTACAACTCTAAGTTTTACCTGGCTTGTATATTAAACCCATGACAAACTACATAAATTTCCTTTGAAATTGGCAGAAACCTATATTTTCCAAAAAGTTTTGTGGCATTTGAAAGTATTCTACAAAAAATGTCAGAGTTTGCCTGGTTCTCGTTTTATCAAGAAATTCTGTTCTGTTCTAATACAGCCTGACCCCAGGTAGAGAGTATTTTACAAATGAGTTAATATACCGTATAG